CCATCCCATCTTATCTACTGGACATCTTTGCAGTGTGGGAATCTGGGAGAAAATACTAAATTTTCAGGGTTCAGATAAACATATGGTGGCAGGTTAAACTGGACAACTCAAACCAGTATGAGGCTATGTACGTATCACAGGTGTCTAGACAGTTTTACCAAGACCAGGCATGTCTGGTCCGCTTTTGTACCACTTCCTGAACCCCTACAAAAACTCAAATTCTGTAGAATATACCACATCTGACCAGGAAGCTTCACTCAGTTTCAAGCCTAGGAGACGACATAATCAAAGGCCTTGCTACAAATGCAGCACAGAAATGAAAAGCAACTTCTGTGCCCAAACAGGTATAGAATATTTGTTGATCTGTCACACAGTTTCTTTCTCCAATTGCTATAGCACAAAAGCACCCCATTAATCTGTATCATATCATCGTCATAATTAGCATACTAACTACTGTAAGGTAGGATCTTGTATTTTTTCCCTGGCAGCTGAAATGCTTAAGGTGAAGCTAATTTTAAGATACGCAACTTAATATTCACCAAATTCTCTGTGTCCTGTAAACATGAAAAACAGTAATCAGTGACGAAACGATAAATCAGTCAACTCAACAAATAATTCACTGACCCAGCATACACCCATATATACCTGGTACAATATACAGTTGGGAATAGTTGAAAGTAAACTATTATATAGCTGATCAGTGATAGAAGGAGAAAATGAAGTTATTTTAACCAATAATTTACAGTTATGCATTTTTTCTGAACTATCTCATATTAATCAGCATCAAGTCTAAAGCAACAAGCTCTAAACATTGGTTTTCACAATAAATATCATCAAAGATTAAGGAAGAAAATAGTAATTATGTAGTTAAGATTACTCAAATGTAGAACCCAGGAAGTTTTTTTAAAGCCCTTAAAATCGTTAGATGATCTAAACAAAACCAGCACTACCGTATTGCTCTCAGGAAGAAAGCGTCTAAAATTGCAGTTAACTACACAAGTTTAAAGGTCACATTGAAAATGTCTACTAGATCCATAAACCTTCTGTTTCTTGGTGGACAAGGATTTCTGCTGGCATTCAGAAATGTAATTTGAGCTTCCCTCCCAGCTTTGAAATGAATAACCCTAGCTGTAGTCTAACAGATTTCCCAAACTAAACTTTTCTGTGAAATAGTGGATCAGTGCAAACATTAACTGGCATGGATCCCAAATCCAGCCTGAAAAGTCCTGGGATTAGACTGTAGGTGTTTGCAACACAGTGTTTAGACAGTATTTCAACTTTAGATGACCAAGACCATATGGAACAATAGAAGAAATATGAAAACCAATAAAATAAAAAGTAAGATCAAAATATTCCTTTTCTTTTAAGTATTCATAAAACTTGTATTTATTGTGTATAATTTTGGAAAGCTTTTGTGTATAATTTTGGAAAGCTTCTTCTATTGTAATCATATATTGGATGCAAAGCAATCTTTATATAAAGTGATAGCAATAACATGACAAAATGTTGGCGGACTTGTCCAGTAGCATCTTTTGCTGCCAAGAGCATTTATTTTAGACTGTGTGATACAACAAGCCATAGATACTCTGCTGGACGGAAATGAAGTTAGTTTCAACAAACATTCAGAATATTGGAAGAAACAAAACAATAGGCAGGACTTCTTTATTCCTCCAAATGCTTGCCTTTGTATTTTTCTGAAATTGACATTGTCACAGAACCCAGATGTAAGTCCTGTTATTTGGGAAAGCAACTATACCTATTAGAAAAACAGAGGAAACTCTGCTAGTTTTGTAATATCTAATAAGAAGATATATATGAAAAATAGAGTAAGAAGTAACCAAGTCAAACAAAAGGTTAGAAAAAGATAACTTGCTTCCAGATCCTGTTAAGTATTACTGCCAAACTGTCCACTGTTTTGCCAAGTAAATAGCTATTACTGAGTACTCCTTGTTAGTATCTGGAAGCAGAAGATAAAAATAATATAAGGTTAGGGCCTAAAAAAAAAGTTTTGGATTAAAAATCTATTTAATAAGGAAGAAGCCTGAAGCCTTAGTTTTGCAAAAATTATAAAGACAAGTTGTATAATAAAGCAAAACACAAGGAAAATATTCATATAGAAAATTCAAGATGGATATTCAGAATTGGGTTTGGATGAAACCCAATGAAAACAGGTATTTAATGTTGAGGAGGTTCTTTTATGTAGCAAAGGCTTTGAAATACATAGTAAGGAAGAAAAAGCTAGAGGTATCTGCATCTCAGTGGAGAAATCACCATGTGAACAATCTGTAGGGGCCTAAAGAAAACCTGGAAAAGTCAAATGAGTTGGTAAATAACTTTTCTTCTGCGGGTCTGTAATACTAGTTTGTTCTGGAAACATAGGTGTTTCCATGAAAATCTGAGAAAACAACAGTTTTTCCTTTGAAGTACCAAGACTTTCAGTTTTCTTGAAGAACTAATGATTAAGCCTTTGTAAGAGTATTTTAGGAAGATAACTAACTAGGGGTAACATACCCCTACACCTGGAACACATCTGATACTAACTGAAATCCTAAACTAGTGGATTTTTTTAGCAAAGCAAACATGTATCTTCTCTCAGACAACAAAATTCTCAAATAACAGATCTGGATTTTCCCACGGTTAGATTGAACAGCTAACCATGGTAAAAATCAGACCCACAGACCCAGGCTGAAGATGACCTTGGAAAACTGGGAGTACGCTGGCTGGGGATGATCTTATTTCTTTTTTCATGGTTGCACTCAAGGGAATGATACAGTAGAGTGCCACGAGGTCAAAAAGCTATCAGGTCTTGTGGCTGAGAGATCCTAAACTGAAAGTAAGATGGTTTTACTTTCACATTGCCTCTGGCAAACTGTTAGTGTAAGTGTTGTGGGTTAACCTCAGCAGGCAGCTCAGCCCCACACAGTCGCTCACTCCCTCCCCTCAGTGGGATGGGGAGAAAATCAGAAGGGCAAAAGTAAGAAAACTCGTGGGTTGAGAGTAAAGACAGTTTAATAGGTAAAGCCATGCATGCAAGCACAGTAAAATAAGGAATTCATTTATTATTTTCCATCCGCAGGCAGGTATTTAGCCATTGCCAGGAAAGCAAGGCTCCATCATGTGTAATGGTTACTTGGGAAGACAAGTGCGGTAATTCCAAACATACCCCCTTCCTCCTCCTTCCACCAGCTTTTGCTGCTGAGCACAACATCATATGGTCTGGAGTATCCCTTTAGTCAGTTGGGGTCAGCTGTCCCAGCTGCATCCCCTCCTAAATTCTTGTGCACCCCCAGTCTGCTCACTGGCAGGGCAGTGTGAGAAACAGAGAAAGCCCTGATGCTGTGCAAACACAGTTCAGCAGTAACTACCCTAAAAGAACCATTGCCTAGACAGAAGAACCCAGAAGTGTTCTGCATTTTGCTGTTGCACAATTAGCCAAAACGCCCAGACAAGTTACTTGAACGCAGTCCCACTGCTCAGAAGCACATGTTGGTACTTACATTTGAGATCCTGGAAATCTAAAATTCTGACGTCTCTTAGTGAACAAACAGCTCACATTCCCTAAAACTCCCAATTTTTCTCCCAATAAAAAACCCAAACAAATCACAGTTTACATGTAGTAATCAGACTAAAGACTGTCTTACTTCATGTCAGCATAGAGTTATGACTAATTACTTTTTATACCAATTGTCTCCAAAAAAACCAAAAAATTAATAGATCAGATTTCAAAAGGTAGATATTAGTATACACACACATAAACTCCTAATGGAATTTCAAAATGAGACAAAAAGGATTACATATACATAGGAAAGACTCTTCAAAATCAGACTGGATAAACAGGTCTCATGGTACTTAATCTTATGGTATTGATATCTAGTCTAGTCTAGGTTAGCCTGGAGACATCTGCATTTCTTTTCAGGTTCTCTAGGAATTTCAATTCTTTGTCAGCCTACCAAATACTCTCAAAAATAAGTTTCATTTAGGTTATTTAAAATGTTATTTCCCTATTGTTTCTACCACATAGTGTATGTGAACAATAGGATTCCCTCTTGATATACTAACTCCAAATTAGTTTATGAAGTAAAAAGGTCTAGCAGATTATCACAAACTGGGCTACTTTGTATGCCACGAATTTCCTCTGCTTTTACTTCATCCAGAGGGAACACTTCTGCATCACAGTTTACATAAAACATTTTTGTAATCTGCTTTTACACATCAAGCACAAAGTATAGATCACACTACAGCTCTGCTTCCAAGTACAGATATAAACTGTATATTTATAACTGCTCATTCTCATATAATTGCACATTCTAACAGTCGGTATGTATATTTGCATGTAAAAGTACAGCTTTCTCATGTCTCTTCCACTCATTTCTGAGTTTGCTTGAGAGCTGCTAATTCTTGTATAAAGATAATCATGCAAGATAAAGACAGAGCCCAAAGTATAACTTCGTCTTTCATCAAGGTTTAAATTGGGCTCAACACTATGTTGTCAAGAGTTACCCCTAGTAGTCAAGAAGTAACCTGCCTTCCAACTTGCTCTAAGGACAGTATTTTGGAGCTGGAGCAGAAGACAGGGTTTCAATTGGCTGCATTTGTCTATTTTTATGCAGAAAACCAAGACTACAAATATTACTCCACCATAGATCTGCTTTATGGTGAGACTTCCCAACACTAAGCAGGGTACATTCAGAACACACACAGTATCTCTCTATGCCCATCACATGCACACGAACATAAGTGTCTCCTATTTATCAGTTAAACGAAGAGATTACTGTTAAGCACATTCTAATACTTTCTTTAGAAGAGTGGCATTTTAGGAAGCACTGAATGCTCTTTCAGCACGTCAAAAAGCAAAATATATCCCTTCAATTGTAACTGTTAATCAGCTAGTTTCAGCCTTTGAAAGCTGCAGGGTAATCATTTGAACTGCCTTAACCAAGAAAAGACTCTGAAGAGGAGCTGACTTTTTCAGTATTTAACCCAACATATCACATACTTACGTCTGGCATTTCTGTACAGTAGAAAAGGGTCCTGCAGTTGGAAATCGAGGTCTTTAGTAATAGGTTCTGTTCGATTGTCCATGCTCAGTCTGTTCATAATTGTGAAACCATGCCTTGGAGAAGCCGATCTGAAAATTATCAAGTCACATCAAGTCAAGGAAAAAAAGAAGTTACTAGAATTTCTTTGTTATACAGTTCTCCAAAACTGTTGTGGGTTTTTTTTGGTGGGTTTTTTATTATTTCTAAGAGATGCTACTACTGAGAGATCTAATTTTGTTGCCAAGGAAATAACAATTGACTCTTGCAGTGTATAGTGCAATCCTTCTACTTATGTCAAAACTCTACATTATGTATGAGAAATAACAGAAACACCATTGGTCTCACAATAGCTACAGAGAGCATGCCACATCTGCGATACTACCATTTAAGGTTCAATGATTTAGTCACAGCATAGTCTTATCTGCATGTCCAGTTTTCACTTCAAGTTATAAGGCCTACAACTTCTAAACAGGCAAGATGTTCTAAAATGCCACGTTGTCCCAGACCATCAGTATCACATTATCAAACCACCACCATCTACCCTATAGTTTCTCGCTGGAGTAGAAAACATCAATTAGAACGATTCAGTCATGGGCCAGAGCAAGTATATCTTTTAACACTCAGGTTAACAATTGCAGGTAGTAACAGTCATCCCAGATAGGATTTTCCATACCGTCTAAAGCATAAGAACAAAACTGAGGGTGGTGAGACACTGGAACGGGTTGCCCAGAGCAGCTGTGGATGCCCCATCATTGGAAGTGTTCAAGGTCAGGCTGGATGGGGCTTTGAGCAACCTGGTGTAGTGAAAGATGTCCCTGCCCATGGCAGGGGGGTTAGACTAGATGATCTTTAAAGGTCCCTTCCAACTCAAACCATACTATGATTTTATGACTAAACCATTATCCTCATTCATAGGGGTTACACTTCAAGTCACTTAGATAATTTTTTTTATTGTGAGCTGTTAAACCTCTCACTATCCTGACCGGAGATACTACTTTCAAACTAAGTGTGACAACAAAGGAAAAGATGATGGCTAAACATTTGGGAAGTGCCATCTCTGGTAATTGCTGGTAGGTGGATTTCTCTATGAAAACCAAAGCACAGGAACTTGCATTACAGGACTGGAATCAACAGGAAATTAAACAGAAGTTGAACCCTTAACAAGAATCCTTGTTTGCAACAGTGAGTACTTCACTTAAACAAAAACCAAGTCCGCTTCCACTGGTGTTAACCCAGTTGGAATTCTGTTTTTTTGACCGTTCCTCAGAATCTGCAAAGATGAGACAGGTGATAAATAAGTCAGCTCAAGTAAAACAGTCACATTACTTTACATTGTCACAACAGTAATGAGAAGCAACAAAGGCAACACCAGTGGTCTCCAACCTACGGTCTGTTGGCAATGTTTTTTCCACAAGACTACGACTTTGTTCAAAGCCACAGAAAATTAAAAGTTAGAACTGACGGGGAGGGCAATGTATGATGTTACTCACACCTCACTACCTGTTCTATATTGTTGTTGTATATAGGGCAGCCAGGGTAGCAATCTCTGCTGCAAATGGAAACTTCCTCAGCCAACAAAAAGAACAACGAAGGATCACAGATGCCAGAAGTGCCAGGTTACATGTTGTCAGTTCTGGAGTTTTAAAACCAACATTCCAGAGAAATACTACTTCTGCTTTACAGTACACAACTAGCCACCTCCACCTACTGGTAGCACAACTAAGGGCTGGTTCTTTCCTCTTGTGGTGGCAATTACAACAGCCTCTTATCTCCACTTACCTGAAAGCAGCTTAGAAAAATTACTGACTGATACAAAAGAGCTCAATAGATTAAAACCAAACATTCCCACTTCACACAACGCTCAGAATCTCTTGGGCCTCCTTGTCACTTCACATCTCTCACCTTCTGAAAACAATCTCTTGCTTTCTCAGTTCTCCCACCAGATCTTCATCAACATAAATGTAGAAGAAGAAAGTTGCTGCTTTGGTGTCCCATCCCAGCAGCTACTGCAAGATCTGCTTACTGTATTACTTTCTGATTTTAACAATAGTCACAGGGAAATGCTGGGGCACTAAGTTGGAAACCCAAACATAGGGCAGGCTTTACAGCAGATCTAAGGCACATGCTAGAATAAATGATGCAACCAATGCTTTGAAAAGCCACAACCAGAGCTGCTGCTAAAAGTAAGCATTAAAACAATACAAAGTGTTGGATGAAATATGCGTGAAAAATGAATAAACAGACACAAGTAGTATGAAAGGTCCCTACACAGGGAACATAGTACTTTGTAAGTTCTACCATTCCCTTACTTTAAGAAATATCATTATTTATTTCACTATTTGTTTTTTGTTCAGACACCTTTTAAACTGCAAATGCTACATCGTATTTCAAACAACATTAACAGATTTCCACGGTTTACCCATATTGAGATTTAAATAACATTTGGAAGTCTTATCCAAATACAAGGCGAAGTCTCCTTCCCAGTGTTTTCTTCCCCGCATTTGCCTCTGCCTGTTGTAGTTTCTTTTCACCCTTGAACAAGGAGCATTTTACTTCAGCCACACTCCATCCCAGCTAACTTTTCCACATCCACAGGTTTCACCTGCAAACATTAAGGCGTTACATCCTCACCTTGTATAAACAAACAGCGTTCCCTCCACGTCAGTCTTCTCCTGAAGAAAAGGAAAGTTAAGAAAGTTGAAAACAGGGCAGCATTTTGCTAGCCATCAGTGAGCCCCCTTTTATGTCTGTTTTACCAATACTATCAGTTACACCTCTCTCACCTAAGCCATGAAAAAAATAACTAAACCCAACTTCATCGCCTGGTGGCGAGAGACTCCAGCTAGCACAGGTCACCATGCAGCTGACCTGAGTCTTATGACAAGATACAAAAAGGCTAAAGGCTCAACACCACGAGACTAAATGCTGTGCTGGATTAACTCTCCGCTATGCCCGAGGGTGACACAGAGGCCAGATTCTGGGAGAGGATTTTCCCAAAGTCAGCCGCCCTCAGGGGCAACGCTGAGGATGGGTAAGGGGAAACCACACAAAAGCAGATTGCGCAGGTTCCTCAAACACAGGCCCTAAGCCCCACCATTACAGCTGGCCAAAAACCACTTGCAAACAGCCAGAATGTTGAATTACCAAAAGATTCCCCAACTTAACTACTTTTTTAAGTCTTAAATAGCCTTTTTAGAATTTGTAGCTCCAATACACTTTTGTACACGCTTTGGTTCTGTTATGGATGTTCAGATAGCAAAACTGCTCCAGAGGCCCACACTCTGGTTTAAACCCCAGTCTCCTACAGCTCTGCCCCACAAGATAAAACTTTTACAGCCCCGTAAGCCTTTCAAAACCCCCTCCCTAGGCACCACAGGGCTTCTCACGCTCCCCAGAGAGGCCGAGCCAAGTGCAAGCCCTTGCACAGCTCGTTGAA